TCATGTCGATGGGCACTTCGCCTTAGCTGTTACAATGTAATAACGGTTAACCGGAGAGGCAGTTTCTGTAAGCAGGGCAAGAAAGATTAGGCTAGAAACAACATCAGAATGTTTCCTTCCTGCCTTCCTTACAGGATTAGTCCTGTAAAGTAGAAAAAAAACAAAAGGAGATTTCCTCCAACAACCAGTTCTCGGAACTGCTTAGAAAGTTAACAACTGGTTCAGAGGTGGGTTGCCCCCGGTTCGGCCTGGATCGGGAGAATGGTATTAGCGGTGGTGGGAGGCTCCGCCCACCCACCCATCATGTGTGCGCATGAGAGAACCGGTAGTAAAAAAATTAGAAACCCACTACTGAACCAGTTCTCCCGAATATGTGCGAACTGTCTGAATCCCACCACTGGTTCCAACCTGCCACAGGTTTCTGACCAGAACTGGTTGCAGAGGAGTCTGGTATCAAAGATTCAATGGAAATAGAGGCTCCTTCCCAACTCCCAATGTCTGTAGCAGAAGGATAGGCAATTAGGGAGGGGAATATGGCACCCTGCTAGGTGACAACATGAGATGCACAGACTTGCATCTCATGTACACTGATTTTTCTTCAAGGTTGGCTCTGTGTCTTTTATAAAAAAGAAAGAACATCCTTTAATGTGCTTCAAAATAAACAAATGTAGTGGATACAATAAATGCAAAAGCAAAATTATTCAGGATAATTGAACTGTGATCATTAAAAGGTAACCCTAAAACAGGGAGTGAAGAAAGAAGAGATTTAAAAAGTCCTTAGATATAGAAGAATGGTTAGTCCTAACTTGGTACTTCTTATCCTATTGGAAAATTCTGTTATTCAAATCAAATCAAAGCAAGCCCAAGAACCAGCTGCAAATTGTCTAGCATTAGCAAGGAAACATTTAACTATCCTATTATTTTTTTAAAAAAAACAACAACAGTGACATAATGAAACAAAGAGGATTCACAAAGAAATGTGTTGTCCCTGCTTGCTCTTTGCCTGCAGTTGGTCCCCACCTCCTTTGGAAAAGTCAACAGAGTGCAATATGAAAGCCTATTACTTGCCTGGTGGCTAAAAACATTAGAAGATAGATATCTTTCCAGAGATCTCAAATTGTAACTTGGCACATTGATCTTAGGCAGGTCCCTCGTAATAAAGGAACACTGTGTCAAAATTATGGGAATTTTCCAGATGGCACTTTTGTGTTAGAAAGTAAAGATACATGTAGATTTTAAGTATTTTTCTTTTTAGAGAAAGGATTTGCAGAAAATATTGTAAAATCTCTTCTCCTCTGTCTTCTCCTCCCCTCCTTTCCTTTACCTTAAAAATGGGAACTGGAAAACGAAAGGTTTACAAGCAGAAACATATACAATTACATCAAGGAGATGCTTTACGATGCTCTTGTCAGGTTTTGCACAGGCTTTTCACATGTGTAGCTTTAGCACTTTTCTGCCCAGAAGGCTGATTTAAATGGGGAAAGAAGAGGGAAGGATTCTGCCAGCTCTGGCAGTAGTGAGCACAGTACAGCTTTTCCATGGCTTTTGCTGACAAAGGATTGTGCATGGCCTATATTTTACCAATTTTTATAATTTGGAAGGAAGCAATTTAGCTTGCTCTGTCATCTTACCTATCCCCCGGGCTCCTTTCCAATGTTGCCCTCCAGACCAGGGCCATTCCCTGCCCCATTCCCTTTTCCTCGCAGAGTTTGCTTCCTCCCTTGCAGGGGCAGTCTCCTGTTTCCCCCCCATCTCCTCCCCAGCCATGACTACTTTTGGACATGGAAAAGCGCTAGTTCATATTATGAGCATTTTCATGCCTGTGACTTGTTTGATGGCCAACTTGACAGATTGCTAAACCAACCACTACAAATATCTACCTACTCTTGCCCATCCCCATCTCATCCCACATAAAGAAGAGTTGTTGCTTGTTTTCCCCACTGGTAGGTGACACTTTGTGTGTGTGTGGGGGAAATGTTGGTGGGTAGCTATCACTTTTCTTTACTTGTCCCACATTAAGCATTCATAAGCAGCTTCATGTAACTCAAGTCAAATCTAGCCAAGCCAAAACAAAGGAATGTACATTCTGGAATGTGGTTGGATGTTAATCTTCCCCTAAAACCCCTAGATATCAATCTAGACATCATGGTTGTGTCTGTACAAGGTACCTATTTTAATTTTAATTTAATCCAGGGGAACAGCATGTGTGAAGAATATGGTTCATGGTAAATTGGATATATTTCTGCTGCTAAAAAAACATAAATCTGAACATTAAATGTGATAAGAATTAACCTATTCTAGTTTTAGTTTTATTTCTGTATTCTTTATTTCAGCTTTAAATTGCATGCAGCATTTGTTAAATTAGAAATGAATAAATCAACTTGATCATCAAATTAGATTTATTTTGGTTTGTTTTAGACAAATATACTCTTTTGCTTTCTATCATCAATTTTATCCACTAATCTTTCAAGCAATCCACTCATTTAAGTTCACCTTGAGAACACTTCATTGTTGAATTAGACTTATAATTCAGATGGCTGCAAACTGCATTCATATATCTTTTTAAAGAGTCTATTTATGGATATGCATGTGGTGGCTCAGTGGCTAAGATGCTGAATTTGTCGATCAGAAAGGTCGGCAGTTTGGCGGTTCGTATCCCTAGCGCCGCGTAATGGAGTGCGCTCCCGTTACTTGTCCCAGCTTTTGCCAACCTAGCAGTTTGAAAGCATATAAAAATGCAAGTAGAAAAAAAGGAACCACCTTTGGTGGGAAAGTAACACTGTTCTGTGCACCTTCGGCATTTAGTCATGCCGGCCATATGACCACAGATAACGCTGGCTCTTCGGCTTTGAAACGGAGATGAGCACTGCCTCCTAGAGTCAGGAACGATTAGCACATATGTGCAAGGGGAACTTTTACCTTTTTACCTTTACATTATTATTTATAAAAACAGGCATAATTATGCTATGTGTAATAAAAATATTAAATAT